ATGATTTATTTCAACAAATCATTTCAATATTTACATTCTAGACAAATTCTTTGTTTACTCTTGATTTGGGTCTGTACTCAGGTTCCCAATCAAGACCACACAAATAGTCCACATATTGGATTTATCTCTATGAGACTTATCCAGATTTTGATATTAGATGTCAAAACAAATTTCATATCGGCCCAAAGCCCAACAATAATTTATTTTAATCAAAACAATTGTGATTAATTGATTATTTATTCATTAATAATTCTAGGGTATGTTTTGGGGCGTTACATAATGGGGGTTAGAAGGTTTTCTTTTGAAATTGTTTCCTTTTTGAGGTCTGTCCAGCTTCCTATAGTTCTTAGGAGGGACTACCTTTTTGGGAACTTCTGTTGGTTTCTCATTTTCCTTCCCTTTCTGCTTATTTCGTTTGGCAGTAGGTTTAGGAGGGATGAAAGTTGTTTTCCCTTTCCTTTTGGAACTAGAGGGGTCAAACCCAAGTCCTTTGCGACCCTTGTGTTTGGTAGTTTCAAGAAGCTTGTTCACTGCTTCTTTGGACTTAAGTATCCCTAGCTCTTTGTTAAGGGATTTCACCTTTTCAGAGAGAGATTCATTTTCAGTCTTGAGTTGAGTGATCTCGTTCAGTTGACTTTTCCGACTTTCAGTCAACTTGAGATTCTCTTCACTCAATAGTTTGTTCTCTTCTGTTAAGGATGAGTGTTTGAGATTTATCTCCTCAAAATCTTTCATAATCTTTTTGAACTGGTCAAAAAGATTTTCAGAAGTTGGTATGCTATAAGAAGATGAGCAGGAGGTTTGTGAGGTTACCTCTTGATCAGCATCATCTTTGGCCATTAGGCAGAGAATGTCATCTTCTGACATAGTCCACCTATCCTCATGGTTGGACTTCTCAACTCTGCGCTCCATGCAGACGATGGCTTCTTCATCCGAGCTTGAGCTGGATGACTCGTCACTTTCAGGAGCAACCATTGCTTTCTTTTTCTTCTCGATCCTTTCTCTTTCTCCGTACTTCTCCACTTTTGGGTACGGGCATGCTGACTTCCAGTGGCCAGGCTTCGTGCAGTTATAGCATAAATAAGATTCAAGAGGGGAGCCACTTACTTGTGGATTTCCCTTGGATGGCCTTCTGATTGAATCAGCCTTTTTGAAGAACTTCTTGAACTTCCGGAATTGTTTGATCATCATGGCAAATTCCTCATCGAAGTTCTCCGTTTTTGAGCTTGACGGCTGGCTGGAGGAAGGTGTGTCACAGTTTCTTGTGCATGTCCCTTCACTTGATGGGACTCTTGGAGTTGTCATCAATGCCGTGGGGAAGGGAGTGACTTGTTCTTCCTTCTTCTTCTTTAGCTCGTGCTCATAGGTTCTGAGTTCATCAAGGAGACCTTGAACAGTGTAGTTCTCCAGGTTTCTTCCTTCTTCCATGGCTGTGGCTTTAGTGTACCACTCAGTTGGAAGTGATCTCAGCAACCTTACATTCTTTTCTTTGGGAGAAAGAATGTGGTTAAGTGAAGCAAGATCATTTAATATCTTGTGGAATCTTTCATCCAACATATCAAATGATTCTCCGGGAAGCATTTTGAAGCTTTTGAACTTCTCAAGCAGGACTTCTATCTTCTGCTTTCTCAGGTCCTCTGATCCCTCACATAGCTTCCCATGACCTTGCCAAATCTCCATGGCAGTCTTGAGATGCTTAATCTTGGAGAAGGTGATGGGATCAAGTGTCTTGAAGATGGCTGCTTTGGCGATGTTGTCCAGATTGTGCTTTTTGCAATCTCTATCATCCCATTTTTCCTTGGGCTTTGGAATATACCGGACTACATCTAGAGCAGCTGGATTCCTCTTAGGGTTCTCCATTTGGATTTTCAAGGGTCCATCCTCAAGCACCATTCACATGCAATCATGTAGAGCGTAGAGATGTGCTTCCATCATGATCTTCCAATCATCATAACCTAGAAGAGAAAACTTGGGCAAACCGTGATCCATATTGTTCACCATTATGATCGCTTCTCGTTAATCTAAAAGTAGATAGTGAGAAACAAGCTCCGATACCAATTGGTGGTCCCGAAGTGGTGAGATACAAAGTCTAGAGGGGGGGTGAATAGACTTTGTTACAAATTTAAAACTTTTTCATTTCTTTTGAAAACGTGAAAATGAGTGTTAATCTAGAGTTCTTGTGAACTTTAGATTGTGTGCGGAAGTTGGTGGGTAGAGTGAGCAGTAATCAATATGGATGGGTTAGTTTTCACAATTAATATAATTGCAAGTAAGAATAAAGATAAAAGAGAGAGACACGCAAACTTTAACGAGGTTCGAAGGTGGGGTAATCCTTCTACGTCCTCAAAATCCACTATGTAGTTGGTTGTTGAATAATGAACCAACAATTACACTTGTGTGAATTTCTGCACGGTATATCTTCGCAAGGCCAATGTTGCTACTGCACTCGTGTTGGCTTTGTTGTTCCTTCGAAGCTCACGCTTCTTCAACAATTGCAAGGTCCGAACAATAGGACTTGCAAGACCAACTTGTAAGAAAGTTGACCTACCCCCTTTCAAACAATAAGTTTGATCAAAAGTTGTATCCTTCAACGTGGTGTGGTACTTGAGGCAAGGAAACCTTCAAGTATTTACACTATAGCTTTTTGGAAGGAGGAGAAGTTTGCTTTGGATAAGGAGTTTAGAAATCTCTCTTTATCAAGCTTTTTGGGCTAACTGTGAATGAGGTAGCCTCTTTGTGGTTCTTCTTATCGTTGATGAGTTGTTCTCTTCTTTCCCAGTCTTCCAAGGATGCTATTTATAGCTGTATTGGATAATCTATCCGTTGAATCAAAATAGACTATCTGTTGCATTTGCTGGCTTTAATTTTGAATGAAGATTGTGATTTGAAGATTCCTCATTGGAATGGGTGTTTGGACATACCCAATTGTTTAAAGAGGGATTCCTTTTTCCACAGAATCCGTCTTCTAGTTGTTGTTCAAGAATTCTGGACTGTAGCACTTTACTCTGTTTATCTTCTAGTGCTTGTTTAAGAATTCTGGACAGGTTCTTCAATTTTTAGAGGTCCAGACTTTGTCTTCGAGTCATTTCTTCTTGAATCAGCATAATTATCTTCAATCTAGCCGTTGAAAATCAAGAGATTGATTTTTCCTTACCAACAGAAGAATTTCTTCATTCAAGACTTAGATAATTTTCTAAGTCTTTTCTCACTTGTCCGCTTTTTGAGAATTCCGGTCTTCCTCGTGGCATCCGGTTCTTAGCTGACAAATCCGGAAGAGTCATACTCAGTCTTCCAGGTGAGAAAGAAATTCGCGCTAGTCTTCCGACTAAGCCTTCAGCGGGTTGTAACGAGACATCCGGTTCTCATGTAGTCTTCCGGATAGGAGGATTTTCGTCTTTGAGAGATAGGAGGACAATATACTCAATTTTGATATCTTTCTTTTCCACATGATCTCTGATGAAGTGATGCTTGACATCAATGTGCTTGGTGCGAGAATGATGCACTGGATTTTGTGAGATAGCTATAGCACTTTGATTGTCACAAAAGATTGTCACTTCCTTTGTTTTGACTCCATAATCCAGTAGTTGTTGCTTTAACCACAAGATCTGAGGACAACAACTACCAGCAGCAATGTACTCTGCTTCTGCTGTTGATGTAGAGATGGAGTTCTGTTTCTTACTGAACTAAGAAACAAGATTTTCTTCCAATGAAGTGACAAGTACCAGATGTACTCTCTCGGTCAACTTTGCATCCCGCAAAGTCAGAATCCGAGTATCCTACTAACTTAAATGAGCTGCTCTTAGCATACCACGAACCCATGTTCTGAGTTCCTTTGAGGTATCTAAGAATTCTTTTGGTTGCTATTGGATGACTTTCCTTTGGCTTTGACTGCAATCTGGCACAAACACCTACTGCATATGAGATATCCGGACGGCTTGCAGTAAGGTAGAGTAGAGATCCAACAATTCCTCTATAGAGAGTTTGATCTATTTCCTTTCCATCGACATCCATATCAAGCTTGGTGAATGTACTCATGGGGACAGAAACGGATGACTTCTGGTCAACTTTGAATTTCATGATAAGATCCCTTGTGTACTTGGCTTGGTTGATGAGAGTCCCTTCACTTCTCTGCTTGATTTTAAGGCCAAGGAAGTAGTTGAGTTCCCCCATCATGCTCATCTCAAATTTTCCTTGCATGAGGGTGGAGAACATGGTGCAAAGAGCTTCCTTAGTTGAGCCAAATATGATGTCGTTCACATAGATTTGGACCAATAGAAGATCTTCTCCATATTGAAGTTTGAACAAGGTCTTGTCAATGACTCCTTTGATGAATCCATTATCTATTAGGAATTGAGACAATGTATCATACCAAGCCCATGTAGCGCCTTTTTGAGTCTATACACTTGATCACCTTTAGTGTGTAACTCAAATCCTAGTGATTGTTCCACATATACTTCTTCCTCTAGGTTTCTGTTGAGAAATGCGCTTTGGACATCCATTTGATAGACTTTACAGTCCTTATGAGCAGAAAAGGCTATAAACAACCTTATAGCTTCAAGTCTAGCAACTGGAGCGAAGGTTTCATGAAAATCTATACCTTGTTCTTGACAATAACCTTTGGCAACCAACCGGGCTTTGTTTCTGACAACAACGTCATTTTCATCCATCTTGTTACGGAAGACCCACTTTGTCCCAATGACTTGTTGATGAGTAGGTCTTGGAACAAGTTTCTAGACATCATTTCTGGTGAATTGGTTGAGTTCTTCTTGCATTGCATTGATCCAATCAGAATCAGCTTGAGCTTCTTCAATGCTTTTTGGTTCCAATTGTGAAATGAAACAAGCAAGCATGGCTTCTAGATTCTGTTGAGCCCTCCTTGTGCGAACGCCTGATTGAATATCTCCAATAACTTGTTGAGGAGGATGATCCCTTAACCAACGAAGATTGTGTTGATTAGGGTTGACTGGTTGATCTAGTTCAGCTTCTGGTTGAAAAACAGAGTTTGTTGGTGATTCCGGATGGATTGGCACTTGGCCACCACTTTCGGAATTGTCACCATTTGAGTGATCCGGAATAATGGACGGCTGGCCATTATTTCCGGTAGGCTCAGCACTGTTTGAATCCGGATTTCTTTCTGAAGTCTTCAGTGGTAGTCTTTTGAATGGAATGAACTCCAGAGGCTTCATTCTATCTCCTTCATTGACTTCTTCATCCTTGTCTGAGAGATCTAGAACCTCATGATCATGCTTTGATGGCTTGTCAACCACATGTTTTTCATCAAAAATAACATGTATTGACTCTTCAGTGATCATGGTTCTTTTGTTGAAAACTCTGAATGCCTTGCTCACCGTAGAGTATCCAAGGAAGATGGCTTCATCTGATTTCTCATCAAAAGTGTTCAGATGATTCTTCCCGTTGTTTAACACAAAGCACTTGCTCCCAAAAATATGGAAATATTATATATTAGGCTTTCTCCCGTTCCATAGTTCATAGGGAGTTTTGTTGTGCCTTTTATAAATCATACTCCTATTTTGAGTATAGCAAGCCGTGTTCATAGCTTCAGCCCTGAACCTCTTTGGTAAGGAAGCTTCTGCTAGCATTGTTCTCACTGCTTCCTTCAGGGTTCTGTTCCTTCTTTCCGCTACACCATTCTGTTGAGGCGTCCTTGCTGCGGATGTCTGATGAAGAATTCCATTTTCTTCACAGTAATGAATGATGATTTCATTCAGGAATTCTGTGCCTTTGTTAGATCTGATCTTCTTGGATGGTCTGACTTGCTTGGTTTTGAATCAGCTTCATGCAGTTTATGAGCTTCCCTTGAGTTTCCTTCTTGCTGTTGAGAAAGATTGTCCACGTGTATCTTGAGTAATCATCAACTACCACCAGGACATATTTCTTTCCACTTAGACTTATTGGAGTAACAGGGCCAAATAAGTCTATGTGAACAAGACTTAGTATCCTTGTAGTTGAGGGTGCCGGTTTTGTCTTGAAAGTAGACTTGACTTGCTTTCCTTTTTGACAAGCATCACAAATGCTTTCCTTTTTGAATACAGCTTTGGGAAGACCTTCTACTAACCCTTCTTTGGATAGTTTGTTGAGAGTTTTGAAGTTAAGATGACTCAACCTCTTATGCCAAAGGCATGCTTCCTTGACATCGTCCCACATCACTTCATAGATGTTTCTGATTCTCTTCCCAGTGAGAATGACTTCATTTGTGGAGATGTTTTTGAGGGATGCCATGTCCTTGCAGAATTCCATAGAATAACCCTTATCACAAAACTGACTTATGCTAAGAAGGTTATAATTGAGACCTTCTACATAAGATACAGCTTGGATGGTTAGTCCCTTGTACACCAGATTTCCTAGCCCTCTTGTAAGGCCAAAATCGTTTCTTCCTCCAAAAGTAACTATTGGACCATCATAGGGAATTAGATTGCTCAAAAGGCTCGCATCACCCGTCATGTGTCTTGAACAACCACTGTCTAAGTACCAGACACCTGGGTACTTAGTGGCTTCCTGCATTAGGAGGAGGAAGGTTTTGGTACCCAATTAAGTTTGGGTCCAGAATAGTTAATGGTGTGTGTCCCTACATCAAGTTTGAAGTTGCAGGGAATTTTCCTTACAGCTCTAAACTTGTTGGGATTGTAGTTGTAGTTGTAGGCATAAAACTTCCTACGTGCACGTGGTGCAATTTCCTGTTTCCTCCTAGCAAACCTAGGTTGATAAGACCTATAGTTTTGTCTAGGTTTTGCATAGTGTGGCCTGTGTCGGTTGTAAGCATACTTAGGTGGAACAAATAGTTTCTGGGGTGGAGGATGACTATATCTTGGGATAGTTCTCCTATCTATCCCATAATGAGTATAGCCTCGTGTATAGTGGGGGTTAGAAGGTTTTCTTCTGAAATTGTTTCCTTTTTGAGGTGTGTCCATCTTCCTATAGTTCTTAGGAGGGACTACCTTTTTGGGAACATCTGTGGGTTTCTCCTTCTCCTTTCCTTTCTGCTTATTGGGTTTGGCAGTAGGTTTAGGAGGGATGAAAGTTATTCTCCCTTTCCTTTTGGAACTGGAAGGGTCAAACCCAAGTCCTTCACTGCCCTTATGTTTGGTCGTTTTAAGAAGCTTATCCACTGCTTCTTTGGACCTTAGTATCCCTAGCTCCTTGTTGAGGGATTTCATCTTTTCAGAAAGAGATTCATTCTCAGCCTTAAGTTGAGTAATCTCACTTAGTTGACTTTTCCGACCTTCAGTCAACTTGAGATTCTCTTCACTCAATAGCTTGTTCTCCTCTGTCAAGGATGAGTGTTTGAGATTTATTCCATCAAAATCTTCCATTATCTTTTTGAACTGGTCAAAAAGATTTTAAGAAGTTGGTATGCTTTCATAAGAAGATGAACAGGAGGTTTGTGAAGTTACCTCTTGATCAGCATTATCTTTGGCCATTAGGCAGAGGCTGTCATCTTCTGACATAGTCCACCGATCCTCATGGTTGGACTTCTCAGCTTTACGCTACATGCAGACGAGGGCTTCTTCATCTGAGCTTGAGCTGGATGACTCGTCACTTTCAGCAGCTACCATTGCCTTCTTCTTCTTCTCGTTTCTTTCTCTTTCTCTGTACTTCTCCACTCTAGGGTACAGGCATGCTGACTTCCAATGGCCAGGCTTCCTGCAGTTATAACACAAATAGGATTCAGGAGGGGAGTCACTTACCTGTGGCTTTCACTTAGATGGCCTTCTGACTGAGTCAGCTTTCTTGAAGAACTTCTAGAACTTCCGGAACTGCTTGATCATCATTGCGAATTCCTCATCGTAGTTCTCCGTTTTTGAATTTGACGGCTGGCTGGAGGAAGTGTGTCACAATTCCTTGGGCATGTCCCTTCATTTGATGGGACTCTTGGAGTTGTCATCAGTGCCGTGGGAAATGGAGTGACTTGTTCTTCCTTCTTCTTGTTCAGCTCATGCTCATAGGTTCTGAGCTCATCAAGGAGACCTTGGACAGTGTAGTTCTCCAGGTTTCTTCATTCTTCCATGACTGTGGCTTTGGTGTACCACTCAGTTGGAAGAGATCTCAATAATCTTACATTCTTTTCTTTGGGAGAAAGAATGTGGTTAAGTGATGCAAGATCATTCAGGATTTTGTGGAATCTTTCATCCAACGTATCAAATGATTCTCCGGGAAGCATTTTGAAGATTTTGAACTTCTCAAGCAGGACTTCTATCTTCTGCTTTCTTAGATCCTCTGATCCTTCGCATAGCTTCCCAAGACCTTGCCATATCTCCATGGAAGTCTTGAGATGCTTGATCTTGGAGAAGCTGATGGGATCAAGTGTCTTGAAGATGGCTGCTTTGGCGACGTTTTCCGGATTGTGCTTCTTGCAATCTCTATCATCCCATTTCTCCTTGGGATTTGGAATATACTGGACTACATCTGGATTGGTTGGATTCCTCTCAGGATTCTCCATTTAGATTATCAAGGGTCCATCTTCAAGCACCATCCACATGCAGTCATGTAGAGCATGGAGGTGTGCTTCCATCATGATCTTCCAATCATCATAACCTAGAAGAGAAAACTTGGGCAAACCGTGATCCATATTGTTCACCATTATGATCGCTTCTCGTTAAACTAAATGTAGATAGTGAGAAGTTGGCTCTGATACCAATTGGTGGTCTCAAAGTGGTGAGATACAAAGTCTAGAGGGGGGTGAATAGACTTTGTTGTAAATTAAAAACTTTTTCGTTTCCTTTTTGAAAACATGAAAATGAGTGTTTAATCTAGAGTTCTTGTGAACCTTAGATTAAGTGCGGAAGTTGGTGGGTAATTGAGCAGTAATAAATATGGATGGGTTAGTTTTCACAGTTAATATAGTAGCAAGTATGAGTAAAGATAAAAGAGAGAGACACGCAAACTTTAACGAGGTTCGAAGGTGGGGTAATCCTTCTACATCCTCAAAATCCACTATGTAGTTGGTTGTTGAATAATAAACCAACAATTACACTTGTGTGAATTTCTGCACGGTATATCTTTGCAAGGCCAATGTTGCTACTGCACTCGTGCTAACTTTGTTCTTCCTTCGAAGGTCACGCTTCTTCAACAACTGCAAGATCCGAACAATAGGACTTGCAATATCAACTTGTAAGAAAGTTGATGTACCCCCTTTTTAATCAAGAATTTTGATTAAAAGTTATATCCTTGAACGTGGTGTGGTACTTGAGGCAAGGAAACCTTCAAGTGTTTACACTATAGCTCTTTGGAAGGAGGAGAAGTTTGCTTCTGGATAAGGACTTTAGAAATCTCTCTTTATCAAGCTTTTTAGGCTAATTGTGAATGTGATAGCTTTGTAGTTTTAGATTGCTTCGTTGTGTTCTCTGCTTTCTATCACATATTTTTCTCCAGTCTTCCAAGGATGCTATTTATAGCTGGATTGGGTAATCTATCCGTTGAATCAAAATAGACTATCTGTTGTATTTGCTGGCTTCAATTTTGAATGAAGATTGTGATTTAGGATTCCTTATTGGAATGGGTGTTTTTGACATACCCAATTGTTTGAGGAGGGATTCCTTTTTCTACAGAATCCATCTTCTAGCGGTTGTTCAAGAATTCTGGACTGTAGCTCCTTACTCAGTTTGTCTTCTAGTGCTTGTTTAGGAATTCTGGGCGAGCTCTTCAATTTGAGAAGTCCAGACTTTGTTTTTAAGTCATTTGTTCTTGAATCAGCATAATTATCTTCAATCTAGCCGTTGAAAATCAAGAGATTGATTTTTCCTTGCCAACGGGTAGAATTTCTTCATTCAAGACTTCGATAATTTTCTAAGTCTTTTTCTCACTTGTCTGCTTTTGAGAATTCTGGTCTTTCTTTGAGGCATCCAATTCTTTGCTGACAAATCCAGAAAAGGCATTCATAGACTTCCAGGTGAGAAGAGATCCGCGCTAGTTTTCCGATTCGGATGACTTAGCCTTCAGCGGGTGGTAGCGAGACATCCGGTTATCATAAAGTGTTCCGGATTAGGGAATCTTCAATTGCTTTGAGAATTTCTTACTTGTCTCTGACATTTCCGATCAAGATATACAATTTCCATATCACTGAATTTGATTAAGTTTTCAACCATTGACATCAAACCACAAAGTGAAATATCACAAATTTATTGGATATCGCAAGAACTCGGTTTTAACAATATTTCTAAAAATAAAAATTACATTGAATATTGGGTGAGACCTAAAGTCCCTATTACAATCTAAATACATCATCATTAAAATCTATAATATTTTTCCCAACAGTAAGTACTTCTAAGTCCTTCTTGTTTGAAGAATTACAAGAAGCCTTTCAAGAATTATTTGGTGAATTGAAGAAAACTTCAAAACTTGCCAAAGAGGCTAAGGCTAAAATTCATGATTTGGAAGAGGAAAATAAATTTTTGGAAAATCATAATTTTGACCTTAAAAATAAGATTAAGGCAATGAATGAAGCTTCTTCCTTTGGCCAAAGTTCTACGTGTTCCTCTTGTGAGTCTTTAAAAATAGAGAATGTAGAACTTAAGAGCACCATAGAAAAACTTAAGGTAGAAGAACCTAAGAAACTTGGTGAAGAATTTAAGAATGATAAACCACCTAGAAGAGCAAATAATCCTAGGAATAAAAAAATTAATTTTAGAAAGAATAAAAATAATAAGTTGAGACAACCTATGTAACACCACAAAATAAGGCCTAAAACTTATTATAAAACAAAAGTAGTTTTGAATATCATTTTGATCCAATAAAGAATATTTTACGTTTGACCAAAAATGAAGGGATTTTCAAAATAATGACTTTTTGTTAAAAACTTATTTTTATGGATATGTCTCGAAGAGACGAATCCAACGGTACATTTTATGAACCAATCTGATTTATAGAATTTCAAGCTATGACGATTTTAAATATTAAAATTTGTAACTTTGACCCATAAATTAAACTCAATTCAAAAGAGATTTCATAAGATTAGAAATCTTAATCTTTGACACTTGACAATACCATATTAATCATTTGGCTATAAATCATATATTTTTATCTCGTTCATATTATTAAATTAATGTATGACTTAGACAGACCCAGACACTAAGAAAAAAATAATAGTTCTCAGAAAAATATTTTGATTATGTCAAAATTCTAGTTTTGACAGTCTGATTCCAAAAATACAATGCGTTTTCAATTCGAAGCAGTTTAGGCGAAAAAGCGCATACCGTTTAGAGTAAACTGTTTAGTTTTGGCAAAAAGCCAAAACTTAAATTATCAAATCTCTTCCAAATCACGGACCAGCCCCTCCTAGCTCCACTTTTGCTCGACTAGCCACCTAAAGTCTCTCCCTACATAATACTTCCAAAGTATTATATTATAATACTCCACCACCACTATTATCATCATTATCATCATGTTCCACCATCATCATCATCATCTCATCTCTCCCCTCTCCATTCTCTCTCTGTCGGCCAAACAACAAGGAAAGGAAAAGAAAACTTCAACTCCATAGTTGGTTCAAGGAAGAAGAAGAAGAAGAAGCAAGAAACCATCCAAAATTTCCAAATCTTGAGTCCAAAAACGCAGCAGCAGATTCAAGGTAAAAACTGAAATTTTCCATCCATTATCTCGAAATACCTTTTGAACCAAAGTTGTAGCTCTAGACGATACGAATCCATCCCAACAAACGGCTCGCTATTTCGTTAAGTAACGAAGGAGATATGACCAAAATACCGGGACTGCGCCAATGGAGGCGAGCTCCTTGGGTTGGACCATTTTCTTCACCAAATTCATATTGCTTCATTCCAAATACTTACCATAAACTCTCTAACGATTATTAGGAACATCCGGAAGGTATTTTAGAGAAGGTTTGGTGTTGGAATATTGAAGTTAATGAGTTAATCGTCGGAATCGTTGTTCATCGACATATCCAAAATCCTGGACAGCAACTATTCCTTGACTTCAGGTCCAATTTACGCTATCTTACATATGTTAAATCGAAATACTTTCTATACGAAAGTTATAGCTTTACATCTTAGGAATCCACAGAATCAAACGGTTTGCGATTCCGTGAAGAAACGATGGAGATATGCCTAAAATACAGCAGGCTGTCCAATTGTGACGAGAATGACAAATTTGGTGAATTTCGATGTTGTTTCCACTCCCGCTCATCCGTAAGGTTTCGGCCGATGATTTCCAGGTCTGTACCCTTGCGTCGAATCATTCATCACATACATACATGAACATATGTATTAATCCATATGTTGAAATCATCCCAAAATATATATGTGATACATATATAAGTCATCAATGTGTTGAAATCAAAATACACCAAATCCATAAAGTTAATGTACACATAAGTAATTAAGTATAAACATTGGAAATCAACCTAACAACATGTATATGTTAATCAAAAGTGTTTAAAAGACTTAAAGAAGTATTTTAGATACCCAAAATATCAAGAGTAAGACTCGCAGACGCAAACGGTCGACGCAAATGGTCGACCATCGTGTTAAACATCGAAACGGACCGCGATTGCCAGCAGAACGGTCGACCGCCATCGGCGAACGGTTGACTGCCGCCAGCCCAGCCGAAGTCCGTTATCTTCAGCCAGTCAAGAACGGTCGACCGCCGGTCAACCACGATCGACCGTCACGGTACACTGGAATCCGACGAATTGAATCAAAGCACGGTCGACTACCGTGCCAAACGGTCGACCGTTTCGAGCCCAGTAGCGAGATTAAATGATATTTTAATCATGTTTCATCCAAATAAACTAATGCATGATTATATATTCATATTGTTGATAAATTGTTCATATCATATCATTCATTTCATCATTCATATTGAAGCATATCACATCATATGCATGCGTAAGAGATCATGCCTCGTGCGTCTCTTATAGCGTGATTGTGCGGGACATAGTAGTCTGACATCACTCGTTTGGGCTTAGTGTACGTACATGGTATTCAGGCTTTCGAGTACCACCCCCATATTGTTTCTAGTCTCACCTCATTCGTGAGACTAAGGTGGCATGAGTTCGTCGTACCAAATGGGCAAATCTCATAGTGCAAGGGTTGTCCTTGCGGGTTATAGGTTCATGCATCATGTTATCATCATCAAGTACAATTATATTGATTACATAGGTGTCATGTAATCATCATCAAGAACAATTATATTAATTACATAGGTGTCATGTAATTATCATCAAGAACAATCAAATTGATTAAATGTGCCATCATGTAATTATCAGTAAATATTTATCATCATGAATCATCAAATCGTTCATATGATATAATGTGCCATATCATGAAAATTATTATACATTTTGTGGACGTATATATATGTATATGTATATACAATTCTACAATTCTAGCGTGGTACCACTCAGCGGTTTTGCTGAGCGTGTAGTTTGTATTTTTCGTTGACTACACGTAGGTAACAAGAAGATAATGATAGAACCACTCCCGGAGGGCAATGCGTTAGAGAAGATTCAAGGATGACAGGCAAATGTTTGATCATCAAGATTTTAAATGTGTCATGATTTGATTATTATTGTACTTCCGCATTACTCTGAAAATATTTTTAAATAGGTCGCGATCCAGAGTCTGTAAATTTAATATTTATAAGTGATTGTCATTTCAAATGTCAACCGAAATTTTTATTTAACTCCGGGTTCACCTTAATACGTGTAATTTCGGGTTATACGGATTAGGGTGTTACAACCTAGAAATGACTATAAGATTTTTATAAATCATAGGAATAATTTAATTTACAATGTTAGGAATAATGACTTTAGATCATCTAGAAATTTTATAGCTCAACCTAGGAATATGCATAATCCAAATGTAGTTTTCCGTTATTGCTCTAAGATAGGACACATAGCACCCGTTTGTTTTACCAAACATAGGGATTTGTTTTATAGCTATGATTATTATTTGCCTAACCTTCAAGGACCCAAACGTTTTTGGGTACCTAAAAATTATTTTTAGATGCATATGTAGTTGTGTTTGAAGACTACAATTTTGTAGTGGATGATCCAAGCATGAAACCTAATGATTTGCATCAAGGAGAGTTTGGGCGGAATTGTTTTTGCTATAAACATGATATCAGTTTCAGGGGGAACATCAATGTTCGGGGAGTACCTTTCTTTTTTAAAAAAACTTTACTTAGTGCTTTTTGCTAATGCCAAAAGGGGGAAGTGTTTGGGTATATGCAACAAGTGAGGGGGAATCTTGTTTTCAAAGACGTAGGGGGAATTACCATTCCTCTCTATTTGAAAACCCAACTTGGCCTGAATATCCCCTCCTTAGTTTGTCATTATCAAAAAGGGGGAAATTGTTGGAAAAAAATTTCACTTTGACATTTTGCTAATGACAATGTTTGTTTCCGTTTAGGTTTTGATATTGACAAACCGTCAGGAACATGGAACAAAATGAAAAGATTCAAAGAGATAGAAAAAGTTCTTTGAAGAAACAAAAAGCACAATAAAGGCATTGACGTAGCTAAAGATGGCGACATTGGCGCTTTGAAGACGTTTTCTAAAGACTTAGGTTTTTATTGTAACAAGCTCATTCAATTTCTCTACGTTATGGCTCAAAACAAAATATGTTTTTCATGCATCAAATCAGTGTTTTCATAAATGGTTTTTAAGTTTCTAAAACCAATGGTTCTTGCTTAACCAAAACCATAACCATCGATTATCGGCATTCGGCTATGGCGTACGGTTTTCGGCATTGGTTATTGGCATTCATTTTAACCAAATGGTTTTTGGGTTTTTATCTTTGTTTTATGCTTCTGGACACATTTAAAGGTTTTCTAAATCATTAGTTTTCAAAAACCATAACCTTTGTTTTTCGGCGTTCGTTATCGGCATTTGGTGCTGGTTATCGGCGTTGGTTTTTGGCGTCCAAATCAATCAAGTCGTTTTTAATATTTTATGATTGGTTTTTACTTCTGGAAATATCCAAATGGTTCTCCAATAAAAACAGTTCAAAAACCACCTCTCGTTTTTGGTCGTTTGGCAAAAACCATGCGAAACGGCATAAACTTGGCTAGCCGTGGTTTTTACCATAATGAAGTGGTTTTTAAGTTTTTATACTTGGTTTCTACATAAAATACATTAAATAAGTGTTTTAAACACTTAGTTTTTACTTTGGAGAACTTTGCATTTTTCAGTCGGGTTTCAGCGCTGGTCGGCTAGGCCATGGTTTTGGACTAGCCATCTACCTAGCGATGGTAGATATCACCCATCCATGGGTAAGTGATCTGGGATTCCAGAACCATGCCATCCAGCGATGGGAGATATTACCCATCCATGGGTAAGTGACTTCCCAGCCATGGGAGGATATTACCCATCCATGGGAAGGCATGACCGTTGTAAGGCATTTAAGGCTGATTCTTTCCTTGTTTGAAAGTAAACCTCCCACCCAGCGATGGGAAGCTCTTACCCATCCATGGGTAGGTGACCATTGTTTTTAAAACTGAAGGAAAAATGGCTTACCAGCGATGGGTAGTTCCATACATCGCTGGGTAGGCTAAATTCCTTTAGATCCACTTTTATTTAATTTCCAAAAATCATGCCATTAAACCCAAATCAACTCCCATCCATTAAACATCATTTTTGGGTATAAATAAGGGTCTTTTGGGTCTACTTTTCATAACTATTCCTCACACTTTTCATAGCTTTACATTGCATCATTCCATAAACTTTTTACATAGCTTTTTAGAGCCATTTCATGAGGAATTGAGTGTGTTCTTGATCTAAATTAGTTTACTCATATTCTACTCTTTAAGAGAGTTTTTGTTCTTGAGTGGTTAAGTGTTGTGAACACTTTAAGGGAGGTTTGTTCCCTTGGTTGTACGAAGGAAGGGCATATTCCTTCGGGTTGAAGTCTTGGAGTGTGGTATCTACGAGCAAGTGTATTGAGGCTCGTGGGACTCGAGTTCTCACGTTGTAACGGTTTGTTAAGCACCCGTAAGCTAACGGAAGTAGTGTAGCTCGAGAGAGTCTCTCGGGAGGCTAGACTAGCCACACGTTATGGTGAACCAGGGTAAAATTAGTGTGTTCTTTCCTTACGCTTTTTTATTCCGCTCTTTACTTTATCCCTACGATTTTTATTCCGCGAAAATTTATAAACATTCTCGTGCCTCACTATTCACCCCCCTCTATTGAAGGGAACTTATTCTAACACCGTCTGTACACAATCCCAATCGAAGGTTTCTCCCCTCGTTCCCAAACTCTGGAAACGTGTAGTCAATCGTCTTCCACTGCGAGGCATCAGCAGAATGATGCAGGGTGCCATTATCTTTTCGCTGCTCTGTGTGCCACACTAGATTCTTAGCGTCCTTTATCGAAGCAAACAAACGCTTGAACCTTGGTATTATTGGAAGGTACCACAAAACCTTAAACGGAATCTTTTTTGTTTTTTTCATATTGTCCTTGTTATGAGTCATTTTGGTTGACTCCTTGTATCTTGGAGCAAAACACTTGGGACTTCGTTGAGATCCTCGAACTCATTTCGATATAAAATGCAATCATTAACACAAGCATGTATCTTCTTGTAGCCCTCACCCATTGGAGACATCATTTTCTTCGCCTCATAAGTGGACGATGGCAATTCGTGTCCCTCTGGAAGAAGTTCACCCAACAAAATTAATAAAGATGTGAAACTTTTGTCACTCCACCCATTTTCTACTTTTAAATTGAATAATTCCAAAACCCCTTTCAAACGTGCAAACTTTGTACAACCAGGATACAATGGGCGTTTTGAGCTTCCTACTAAACTCTCATACATATTACGCTCTTCATTAATGACGACTTGATCAAGAGGAACATCTTGAGTGGCCCCTAACTCATCTTCTATTTCAACCTCAAGATTGTGGATGTCTTAGCTATCATCCTCGACTTGTTCATTATGAGTATAGCTAGAGCTGCAAGGATTTTTTAACTCTCCATGCCATTTCCATCGTAGGTATGT